GGGTTAGGACCTGGGTTAGTGTTAGAGACAGGGCTGGGGTATGGGACCTGGGTTAGTGTTAGAGACAGGGCTGGGGTAGGGACCTGGGATAGTGTTAGAGACAGGGCTGGGGTAGGGACCTGGGATAGTGTTAGAGGCAGGGCTGGGGTAGGAACCTGGGAGAGTGTTAGAGACAGGGCTGGGGTTAGGGCCTGGGTTAATGTTAGAGCCAGGGGCTGTGGCTGGAGCTGCTCTCTCACGTTGGGGCTACAGTGAGGGAAAAAAGTATTTGATCCCCTGCTGATTTTGTACGTTTGCCCACTGACAAAGAAATGATCAGTCTATAATTTGTATGGTAGGTTGACCAGTAAGAGACAGAATAACAACAAAATAATCCAGAAAAACGCATGTAAAAAATGTTATAAATTGATTTGCATTTTAATGAGGGAAATAAGTATTTGACCTCTCTGCAAAACATCACTTGGTACTTGGTGGCAAAACCCTTGTTGGCAATCACAGAGGTCAGACGTTTCTTGTAGTTGGCCACCAGGTTTGCACACATCTCAGGAGGGATTTTGTCCCACTCCTCTTTGCCGATCTTCTCCGAGTCATTAAGGTTTTGATGCTGACGTATGGCAACTCGAACCTTCAGCTCCCTCCACATGTTTTCTATGGGATTAAGGTCTGGAGACTGGCTAGGCCACTCCAGGACCTTAATGTGCTTCTTCTTGAGCCACTCCTTTGTTGCCTTGGCCGTGTGTTTTGGCTCATTGTCATGCTGGAATACCCATCCACGACCCATTTTCAATGCCCTGGCTGAGGGAAGGAGGTTCTCACCCAAGATTTGACGGTACATGGCCCCGTCCATCGTCCCTTTGATGTGGTGAAGTTGTCCTGTCCCCTTAGCAGAAAAACACCCCAAAGCATAATATTTCCACCTCCATGTTTGACGGTTGGGATGGTGTTCTTGGGGTCATAGGCAGCATTCCTCCTCCTCAAAACACGGCGAGTTGAGTTGATGCCAAAGAGCTCCATTTTGGTCTCATCTGACCACAACACTTTCACCCAGTTGTCCTCTGAATCATTCAGATGTTCATTGGCAAACTTCAGACGGGCATGTATACGTGCTTTCTTGAGCAGGGGGACCTTGCGGGCGCTGCAGGATTTCAGTCCTTCACGGTGTAGTGTGTTACCGATTGTTTTCTTGGTGACTATGGTCCCAGCTGCCTTGAGATCATTGACAAGATCCTCCCGTGTAGTTATGGGCTGATTCCTCACCGTTCTCATGATCATTGCAACTCCACGAGGTGAGATCTTGCATGGAGCCCCAGGCCGAGGGAGATTGACAGTTCTTTTGTGTTTCTTCCATTTGCGAATAATCGCACCAACTGTTGTCACCTTCTCACCAAGCTGCTTGGCAATGGTCTTGTAGCCCATTCCAGCCTTGTGTAGGTCTACAATCTTGTCCCTGACATCCTTGGAGAGCTCTTTGGTCTTGGCCATGGTGGAGAGTTTGGAATCTGATTGATTGATTGCTTCTGTGGACAGATGTCTTATATACAGGTAACAAGCTGAGATTAGGAGCACTCCCTTTAAGAGTGTGCTCCTAATCTCAGCTCGTTACCTATATAAAAGACACCTGGGAGCCAGAAATCTTTTTGATTGAGAGGGGGTCAAATACTTATTTCCCTCAATAAAATGCAAATCAATTTATAACATTTTTGACATGCGTTTTTCTGGATTAATGTTGTTGTTATTTTGTCTCTCACTGTTCAAATAAACCGACCATTAAAATTATAGACTGGTCATTTCTTTGTCAGTGGGCAAACGTACAAAATCAGCAGGGGATCAAATACTTTTTTCCCTCACTGTAGTTTAGGGCTAAGCCTATGGAGAGATCGATGCGGGAGATCGATGCGGCGAACACACGCGGGTCACGCCCCGCGCGGGTCACGCCCCGCGCGGAGGACGGATGCGAGCAGAGGACAAACAGACAAAGATCCCCCGTATAGCCTTAACGGATTTATGGAGGCAAGTGCTATTAGCGAGCACCTATAAAGGCAGGAACGGCGCATGCGGGATGGGTGGCGATGACCATGCCCAGCCGCCTTTGTCTTCCGAGTGGCAATGTTTGCATATCGCACCGGGTACACATTTGAGGCTGAGTAGACCTACGGGAGGCTCATGACCGGTTCGAATATTCGCTGTCACTGTTATTTGGTCGTGAGCGGGAATCGAACTCGGGTGGCCTGGTTCGTAGCGCAGTGCGCGATCTGCACCCACCACTCCCCAGTTAGGAAGACGCTGGCGACAGACCGATCCTACGTGATCATTGCCTTGTGTGAGATACACTGCGACATTATCCGCGTGGTAATTGCTATTTTACATGATTTACCGTTAATAGATGCAAGCATTTAATTATAATACGTGATTGCAATACGTGATTGATAATTAGACGCGCGCACAGAGGGGCCTTAATTACAATTAGTCATCCATTCATATCGCGTGCGAATACATCTCAAGATATTAAGACAAAAGCACAAACACACAAAGACACGTACGTAGAGACAGACACACAGCAACACACAGCAACACACACACACATATACACACGGGGACACACCCACTGATACACACACACACTGACACACCCACACTGACACTGACACACCCGCACAGACACACTGACACACCCGCACAGACACACTGACACACCCGCACAGACACACTGACACACCCGCACAGACACACTGACACACCCGCACAGACACACTGACACACCCGCACAGACACACTGACACACCCGCACAGACACACTGACACACCCGCACAGACACACTGACACACCCGCACAGACACACTGACACACCCGCACAGACACACTGACACACCCGCACAGACACACTGACACACCCGCACAGACACACTGACACACCCGCACAGACACACTGACACACCCGCACAGACACACTGACACACCCGCACAGACACACTGACACACCCGCACAGACACACCCGCACAGACACACCCGCAACAGACACACCCGCACAGACACACCCGCACAGACACACCCGCACAGACACACACGCACAGACACACCCGCACAGACACACCCGCACAGACACAGACACACCCGCACAGACACAGACACACACGCACAGACACAGACACACCCGCACAGACACAGACACACCCGCACAGACACAGACACACCCGCACAGACACAGACACACCCGCACAGACACAGACACACCCGCACAGACACAGACACACCCGCACAGACACAGACACACCCGCACAGACACAGACACACCCGCACAGACACAGACACACCCGCACAGACACAGACACACCCGCACAGACACAGACACACCCGCACAGACACAGACACACCCGCACAGACACAGACACACCCGCACAGACACAGACACACCCGCACAGACACAGACACACCCGCACAGACACAGACACACCCGCACAGACACAGACACACCCGCACAGACACAGACACACCCGCACAGACACAGACACACCCGCACAGACACAGACACACCCGCACAGACACAGACACACCCGCACAGACACAGACACACCCGCACAGACACAGACACACCCGCACAGACACAGACACACCCGCACAGACACAGACACACCCGCACAGACACAGACACACCCGCACAGACACAGACACACCCGCACAGACACAGACACACCCGCACAGACACAGACACACCCGCACAGACACAGACACACCCGCACAGACACAGACACACCCACACCCGCACAGACACACAGACACACACTGACAACGGCAGACAAAGATTCCCCCCCCCCCCCCCCAGGTGACCGCTAAGAGGCTGTTGTGGCGAGTGCTGTGTAGCGAGCACCGGTGAAGGCCGCCACACGGCGCACGATGAAGTGCTGTGGCTGAACCACGCCCAGCTGCCTCCCCCCCCTCTTCCCCAGTGCTGATGTTTGTCACACCGCAGCTGGTACTGATTTAAGGCCGAGTTGATCCAGGGGAAGCTCACGACCGGTTCAAATATTCATCACTGTTATTGCTCGTAGAGCTGGAATCGAACTCGGGTCACCGGGTTCGTAGCGCAGTGCGCTACCGTCTGTGCTGCCTCTCCCCTACAGCAGCACACACGCAGCGCCATGTGCACATACAAGGATCTCCAGCGGTGTAGCCTTGCACAGATCGTTGGGGAGAGCGCTGCTCGCGAGCGCCCATTCAGACTGCCATGGCGCGCACGGGCGGGGGGGGTCTGGGCAGGGCCACGCCCGACCGCTTTTGTCTCTCCCACCCTCCCCCCAGTTCTGATGCTTACACACCGCACCGGGCGTTTATTTCAGGCCGAGTCAACCCACGGGAAGCCCACGATTCGTTCAGCTGTCGTTGCCCGGTGGTATCAGGCGATAATCGATCTCAGGTTGCCAGGTTCGTAGCGCAGTGCGCTAACCACTGCGCCACCGCTCCTCACACACACAGACACGTTCCCCGACACACACACACCGCAAGACACACACACATTGACACACACACACTGACACACACACTGACACACCGCAAGACACACACACCGCAAGACACACACGCCGCAAAACACACACACACACACGCCGCAAGACACACACACACTGACATCCACACACACAGCCGCAAGACACACACACACCACAAGACACACACACACACCACAAGACACACACACCACAAGACACACACACACACCGCAAGACACACACACACCGCAAGACACACACACACACCGCAAGACACACACACACCGCAAGACACACACACGCCGCAAGACACACACACACTGACACCCACACACACAGCCGCAAGACACACACACACCGCAAGACACACACACACACACCGCAAGACACACACACACCGCAAGACACACACACACGCCGCAAGACACACACACACACCGCAAGACACACACACACACACACCGCAAGACACACACACACACCGCAAGACACACACACAGCCGCTGCAACTCACCTCGCTCCACATCCTCCACAGCGACTCTCAGCTGCTCTTCACTGCTCAATTCGCCCACGACCACCACCATGGATGCCCCGCCATCCACAGGGCACGGTGACCCTCCACCGATCCCCCCTCCACCCTGCAGACCCATTCCTCCGTGGCCCGCGTCGCTTCCACACGGAGCCGCGTCGCTCGCCATTGCTTCTCTCTCTGTCTCTCTCCTCCTCCACCTCCTCCTGCTCCTCCTCGCAATGCGCTGTGCACGCGCCGCCCCTCTGCGCGCGTTTAAAGGGACCCGGGGGCGGGTGACGTCACCGCGGGCAGGAGGAGATGCGGGCAGGGGGGGGGGGCTGCGGGGGATGAAGGGGGGGGATGAAGGGGGGGGATGAAGGGGGGGGGGATGAAGGGGGGGATGAAGGGGGGGGATGAAGGGGGGGGACAAGAAGCGCGTCGCGTCGTCATCAGCGTGAAGGTGGCCCAAGTGGACGATCACGACATCGCAGGATCGTGATTGGCGGTGGACTTTATCCAGCAGTGGAACGACGATGGCTCATGATGATGAGAGGCGTGGGTGGGGATGAGGAGGAGGTGATGAGAGGCTGGGAATGAGGGGGGATGAGAGGGGAGAGGTTGGTGGAGGATAAATGGGGTGACAGGGTGAGTGGTGGATGAGTGACAGGGTGAGTGGTGGATGAGTGACAGGGGAGTGACAGGGTGAGTGACAGGGTGAGTGGTGGATGAGTGACAGGGTGAGTGGGGATGAGTGAGAGGGTGAGTGGGGATGAGTGACAGGGTGAGTGGTGGATGAGTGACAGGGTGAGTGACAGGGTGAGTGCGGACAAGGAGAGGCACGGGCTAGAGAAGTGATGGAGTGATGTGGTACAGGAGGATGAGGAGCTGGGTGGACTTGCCGATGAGTAATACCAGCGGTGTTAATTTTGCTCTCTATGAAGCAGGATCCTGAAGGACGCTGCTGGGTGGGTGAGGCAGTCGCCCTCCAACAACAGCGGGGGGTAGATGAGGGACGCTCACAACAACGAACAGATCGCCGGGCGGCTAAAGCGCAGAAAGTTGGCATAGCGACGAGCACAGGTGGTGCACCTGCCAGGGTCTGTCACGTGACCTTCTCCCGCCAGCCACGGGAGCCTTCCACACTTCACGCGATAGCCTCAAGGTGCACGTAGCCTGGCACAAAGGCACAAGCGCCGTTGTGACATCACGGCCACTTCGTGGCGAATGGCGACAGCTGTGGGGCAATGAACATTGGCCCTGCCGTGGCGCGTTCACCACTTGTTGCAGAGGTTCACGGTTCGATATCCAGCGTCCGTTCTGGTTAATAAGATCCCCTGTTGTCATTCGCAAGAGTAGGCCATTGGTGTAAGGTGTCACGGTCAAAGTTTGCCAAAATAACCATCAATAGGGCAGTCCTCGAGTTACGAACTTAATTTGTTCCTGATACCCGTTCGTACACTGCAGGAAAAAAACGATATCGTAAATAAAACATAATAATAAAGTAACATAATCTGAAAAAAACAGTTTTATGTTCACTTACCTTAAGTCCTGAGGCTAGCCTGGAGTTGGAAGAGGGGCAATGAGTAACCACAATTGCAGACACACGGACACACGCAGACACACGGGCACACACAGATACACGGGGCACATGCACACACACGACGCAGATACACGGGGCACACGCACACACACGGGGCACACACACACACGGGCACACACAGACACACGGGCACACACAGACACACGGGACACACGCAGACACACGGGACACACGCACACACACGGGACACACACAGACACACGGGACACACGCAGACACACGGGACACACGCAGACACACGGGCACACACAGACACACGGGACACACGCAGACACACGGGACACACGCACACACACGGGACACACGCAGACACACGGGCACACACAGACACACGGGACACACGCACACACACGGGGCACACACACACACGTACCGAGTGGCGATGTTTACACATCGCACCAGGTACTCATTTGAGGTCTGAGTCGACCTAGGGGAGGCCCAGGTCCCATTCAGGTAATCGTCACCGGTGTTAATCGTGAGTGGGAATTTAACTTTCGTCGCCAGGTTGGTAGCACAGCGTGCTACCCATTGCACTACCGCTACCCCCACACACAAAACAAAGATCCCCCGTTTAGCATGAACAGACTATTGGGGCAAGTGCTGTTAACGAGCACCTATGAGGGCCGGCACAGCACACGAGGGGGTGCGTGGCCAACACCACGCCCGGCCGCCTTTGTCTCCCTAGTGGCGATGTTTACACACTGCACCAGGTACTCATTTGAGGCTGAATCGACCTAGGGGAGGCCCGGGACCGGTTCAAAGAATCGTCACTGGTGGTGGCCGTGAGTGTGAATCGAACCCGGGTCGCCAGATTCGTAGCGCAGCGCGCTACCGCTCCCTCCCAACACTTACACTTAAACACACACTCATACTTACACACACACTTACACTTACACACACACTCACACTTACACACACACTCACACTTACACACACTCACACTTAACACACACTCACACTTACACACACACTCACACTTACACACACACTCACACTTACACACACACTCACACTTACACACACACTTACACTTAAACACACACTCACACTTACACACACACTCACACTTACACACACTCACACTTACACACACACTTACACTTACACACACACTTACACACACACTCACACTTACACACACACTTACACTTACACACACACTCACACTTACACACACACTTGCACACACACTCACACTTACACACACACTTACACACACACTCACACACACACTTACACACACAATAACAACAACCGCCATTCGTCACTAAGTGGCGGTGACGTCACCACGACGCTTGTGCCAGGCTATGTGCACCCTGAGGCCACGTGAAGTGTCGAACGCCCGCTGGCAGGTCACGGGGCAGACCCAGGTGCCACGGGTCGACTGACTGAGATGACTGGCTGATGCACCACCTGTGCCCCCTACTGTGCCAACCTGCTGTGCTTCAGCCACCCGGCGCTCCGCTCGTTGTTGTGAGCGTCGCTCCTCCGCCCTCCGTTGTTGTTGGAGGACGACTACCTCCAACTGCCCAGTAGCATCTTTCACGAGCCTCCTCCACAGAGGCCGATCTTGACACCGCTGGTACCAGTCATCGGCAAGTCTACTCAGCTCCACGTCCTCCTGTACCACATCACTCCATATCTTCTCTAGCCCGTGCCGCGCCCGTTTAGCCCCCTCAATCCGGCCGAACAAAAGCTGTTTCGGCATGCGGTGGCTGGGCATGCGGGCTACATGACCCAGCCATCGCAGCCTTGCCCGCCGAAGGAGCTCACCGATGGGACCTTGCCCAGATCTTTCAAGGATTTGTGAGCGCCTCACACAATCCAGCCTGGTTAAACCCAGGATGGATCGTAGGCAGGCCAGCCTAAATGTTTCTAACCGGCGAAGATGTTCCGTTAGGGGGTCCACTTTTCGCAAGCGTAGAGAAGGGAGGGAATGACCGTGGCCGAGAAGACCTGAAGCTTAGTGCGGAGCGACAGACCAGGTAGCTTCCACACAGCGTTACGCAACCGATGAAAAGATATTGTCGCTCGACTGATTCGGACTGAGACCTCTGCTGTTAAACTGGAGCCGGTCATAAGCACACTGCCCAGGTATGGGAAACTCTCCACTCTCTCCACAACTGCCCCATCACCGATTGGGAGTTGTGGGGGTGGAGTGTCCGATGGTACAAAATACCCAGGCAGGTGCTTAGTTTTGGTGGGGCTGATGGTAAGGCTCCATCTCTTAGTGGCACGCTCCAGTCTCAGCAGCAGCGTCTCCAACTCCTTCTCTGAATGAGCAGCTATTACCAAATCATCAGCATACATAACGTGGTTGAGCAATAGGGAGCCGTCCCTTGACCGCACCCGGACATCGATCAGCCTCCCATTATATCTGTACCATATGGAGATTCCCCCGGTACAGCTATTGAAGACTTCACGAACTACGTGGTCAAAATAGATGCTAAATAATGTGGGAGCCAGAGGACATCCCTGTCGCACCCCAAGGTGTACAGGGAATGGCTCTGACTCCCGGCCACGTAGTTTTACCCTGGCCCGCTCACCATCATGAAGGTCCTTAATGATCGTGAGCAGAGGGTCAGGTACTCCAAAAGCACGAAGAACGACCCAGAGCCCAGGCCTACTGATGGTATCATAGGCCTTGACCAGGTCAATAAAGCAGAGATGTAGGTTTTGCTGGAATTCCCTACACCTCTGCTGTAGCAGACGGACAGAAAATATGGCATCTGTGCAGGACCGCCCTTTCCTGAAACCGCATTGGGGCTCCGCAAGCCTCTCCTCAGCGTGCCTGGCAAGGCGATGTTGAATAATCCTTGCCAGGACCTTTCCTGGCACACTGAGGAGTGAGATGCCCCTGTAGTTAAGTGTGAGAGTGATGGCACCTCAACCAGCCACTCACAGGGGGTGACTTCTTCCAATATTTGAGGCACACACACACGCTCACACTTACACACACACACTTACACACACACACTTACACAAATAAACACAAATATCCCCCATATAGCCTTAACAGACTGTAGGGGCAAGTGCTTTTAGCGGGCACCTATGAAGGCCGGAACGGTACACGAGGGGGTGGGTGGCCAGCACCACGCCCGACCGCCTTTGTCTCCCTAGTGGCAATGTTTACACACCGAACCAGGTACTCATTTGAGGCTGAGTCGACCTAGGGGAGGCCCGGGACCGGTTTAGATAATCGTCACTGGTGTTGGCCGTGAGCGGGAATCGAACCCGGGTCGCCAGGTTCATAGCGCAGCGTAGCGCTAACCGCTACACTACCGCTCCCCACAACACTTACACACACACACTTACACACACACTCACACTTACACACACACTTACACACTCACACTTACACACTCACACTTACACACACACTCACACTTACACACACACTTACACTCACACTTACATACACACTCTCACACTTACACACACACTTATACACTCATTCACAATTACACACACACTTACACACACACTCACACTTACACACACACACACTTACACAGACTCTCACACTTACACTCACACTTACACACACTCTTACAATTACACACACATTCACACACACACTCACACTTACACACACACACTCACACTTACACACACACACTTACACACACACTCACACTTACACACACACACACTCACACTTACACTCACACTTACACTCACGCACTCACACTTACACACACACTCACACTTACACTCACACTTACACACACTCTCACACTTACAACAACCGCCATTCGCCACTAAGTGGCGGTGACGTCACCACGACGCTTGTGCCAGGCTATGTGCACCGTGAGGCCACGTGAAGTGTCGAACGCCCGCTGGCAGGAGGTCACTGGGCAGACCCAGGTGCCACGGGTCGACTGACTGAGATGACTGGCTGATGCACCACCTGTGCCCCCTACTGTGCCAACCTGCTGTGCTTTAGCCACCCGGCGCTCCGCTCGTTGTTGTGAGCGTCGCTCCTCCGCCCTCCGTTGTTGTTGGAGGGCGACTGCCTCCAACTGCCCAGTAGCATCCTTCACGAGCCTCCTCCACAGAGGCCGATCTTGACACCGCTGGTACCAGTCATCGGCAAGTCCACTCAGCTCCACGTCCTCCTGTACCACATCATTCCATCTCTTCTCTAGCCCGTGCCGCGCCCGCTTAGCCCCCTCCTCACACTTACACATACATTCACACACACACTTACACTCACACTTACACACACACTCACACTTACACACACTCTCACACTTACACACACACTTATACACACACTTACACACACACTCACACTTACACACACACACCCAGCGCGAGGCCGACTCATTACATCTCGCGGGGGATCGCTCCTCTAAACAAAAAAATGCCTCGGTTCAGTTTGCAATTGCGAGTTCGCGTTTTAAGTCCATCTTATTTTTTTCATGGAATCTGGTTCGTAAGTACGGGTGTTCGTAAGTCGGGCGTTCGTAATTCGATAACTGCCTGTATAAAGGTGTCTACATAGGCAGTCAGCGCCCCCTACTGCGAATAAAACGAATCCTAAGACTCAGTTCTTGGGTAACAAGCGTGGTGATCACAGTGACCATGGTGTGCGAATCTGTAAGGACGGCTGGGGGAGGCCTTCATCCAGCAGTGGATTCACCACGGCTGATGCCATCCCCACACACAACATCGTTTTGGGTCATAATTGGTTTGTTAATCGAGCAACCTTTATTATTGTTATATTGGCAACAAGCAAACACATACACACGTGCAGTGTTGTCGCAGGGGTAGCAGGACATGCTGATGATTGATAATATCGACGAAACCAGCGTGGACTTGTCGTGTAGTCATTGCAGCGATGATCCCCAGTAAATTGCTAAAACCTCAGCAAATGAGTCAAAAATACGAAATGTATACAGATAATAGGCGACGTTTCGGGGAATAGCCCTGATTAATATCACATCATGCTACGTTGAGATGTTTTTGTTAATCAGAATCTTTATTTATCCTGGAGAAATCCGATGAGCTATGAAGCTCTTTATCACCGATGTCCAGGAGGTGGTAGTGCAGCATCACCAACAAAGTCCTCCCTCCAGTAGAGGCGAGAACAGTGACCACAGTCGTCAGTACCATGAGCCGGGGTCAATCAACTGCTGGATGAAGGCTGCTCCTAGCCGCTGGCATCTCCCACAAAACCAGCCCCACTCAGGAGGTGTGTGCTGTACTGCCCCACTCAGGAGGGGTGTTCTGTACTGCCTCACTCAGGAGGGGTGTTCTGTACTGCCCCACTAGGGAGGGGTGTTCTGTACTGCCCCACTCAGGAGGGGTGTTCTGTACTGCCTCACTCAGGAGAGGTGTTCTGTACTGCCTCACACAGGAGGGGTGTTCTGTACTGCCTCACTCAGGAGGGGTGTTCTGTACTGCCCCACTCAGGAGGGGTGTTCTGTACTGCCCCACTCAGGAGGGGTGTTCTGTACTGCCTCACTCAGGAGGGGTGTTCTGTACTGCCCCACTCAGGAGGGGTGTTCTGTACTGCCTCACTCAGGAGGGGTGTTCTGTACTGCCTCACTCAGGAGGGGTGTTCTGTACTGCCCCACTAGGGAGGGGTGTTCTGTACTGCCCCACTCAGGAGGGGTGTTCTGTACTGCCTCACTCAGGAGAGGTGTTCTGTACTGCCTCACACAGGAGGGGTGCTCTGTACTGCCTCACTCAGGAGGGGTGTTCTGTACTGCCTCACTCAGGAGGGGTGTTCTGTACTGCCTCACTCAGGAGGGGTGTTCTGTACTGCCCCACTAGGGAGGGGTGTTCTGTACTGCCCCACTCAGGAGGGGTGTTCTGTACTGCCCCACTAGGGAGGGGTGTTCTGTACTGCCTCACTCAGGAGGGGTGTTCTGTACTGCCTCACTCAGGAGAGGTGTTCTGTACTGCCTCACTAGGGAGGGGTGTTCTGTACTGCCCCACTAGGGAGGGGTGTTCTGTACTGCCTCACTAGGGAGGGGTGTTCTGTACTGCCCCACTCAGGAGGGGTGTTCTGTACTGCCTCACTAGGGAGGGGTGTTCTGTACTGCCTCACTCAGGAGGGGTGTTCTGTACTGCCCCACTCAGGAGGGGTGTTCTGTACTGCCTCACTCAGGAGAGGTGTTCTGTACTGCCTCACACAGGAGGGGTGTTCTGTACTGCCTCACACAGGAGGGGTGTTCTGTACTGCCTCACTCAGGAGGGGTGTTCTGTACTGCCTCACTAGGGAGGGGTGTTCTGTACTGCCTCACTCAGGAGTGGTGTTCTGTACTGCCCCACTCAGGAGGGGTGTTCTGTACTGCCTCACTAGGGAGGGGTGTTCCGTACTGCCTCACTCGGGAGGGGTGTTCTGTACTGCCCCACACAGGAGGGGTGTTCTGTACTGCCTCACTCAGGAGGGGTGTTCTGTACTGCCCCACTCAGGAGGGGTGTTCTGTACTGCCTCACACAGGAGGGGTGTTCTGTACTGCCCCACTCAGGAGGGGTGTTCTGTACTGCCTCACACAGGAGGGGTGTTCTGTACTGCCTCACTCAGGAGGGGTGTTCTGTACTGCCCCACTCAGGAGGGGTGTTCTGTACTGCCTCACTCAGGAGGGGTGTTCTGTACTGCCTCACACAGGAGGGGTGTTCTGTACTGCCTCACTCGGGAGGGGTGTTCTGTACTGCCCCACTAGGGAGGGGTGTTCTGTACTGCCTCACTCAGGAGGGGTGTTCTGTATTGCCCCACACAGGAGGGGTGTTCTGTACTGCCTCACTCAGGAGGGGTGTTCTGTACTGCCTCACACAGGAGGGGTGTTCTGTACTGCCTCACTCGGGATGGGTGTTCTGTACTGCCCCACTCAGGAGGGGTGTTCTGTACTGCCCCACTAGGGAGGGGTGTTCTGTACTGCACTGCGCAGTGTTGACAAATCAATCGTTTAACCTCCACCAGAGGAGACGGTCAAGCTAAAGGCGCAGCGCTGCATTTGCTCGTTCACGCCACTGCTGCAGGAATGAGCCTCCGCTCTATGAGCGCGCTCTGGGTGGTGGTGTGTTGGCCCAATCTTTCGCGTCGACCGGTTCGTCTTGGAAGAGGTGGATGGATAATCCACGAGGGGCTGATCCATCCTGGTGGATCTCACTGGGTGTTTCCGCGACCCACCAGGAAGCCTTGGACAACAATCACTGGGGTGGCCACTGCGCACGCCTCCTTCACGAATGGAAATTTAAAGACAAAGGCACAGTGCGACTGTGACCACGAAACGTCGTACTCGGATTGTAAACGTTGTGGCTTGACTCTCCAACACACCGGTGTGCTGTACTCGTGACGAATTGGCACGTTCTGTTTACGTGACAACCCTTACTGGTTGGCTGTGTCGGGTGGTGGCGGGTTTTAACGACACAACATTTATAAATGTGTTAAAGACACAAGCCACATTAGTGCGGCTGTGGCCATGCAACCCAAACCATGGGCCACACAGTAAACCAAGGCCGTAATAATGCTCAAAATGCCCCCCCCCCCACCAATATATTGTTATTAAAAATATATAATAGCTATGCTATGTAAATAAAAACAACAATTTGCTCAACCTTGGCCACAATATCTGGACTTGTCTTCATGTAAATCAATGCATAAATATCAGTTCATATGATTGTGGTTATGGTTGTACTTTATTAATCCCTAATCTCTGCCATTACATACGATGAAACAAGAAATGGTAAAAAAGTAAAAACAGCAATGTAATACAATACACTCTTAGACATTATTACAAAAAAATAAATAAAAAGTCCATCCCATGTGTTAGTGAATTTTTTTATATTTTAGGCAGGAAATTAGTTTTAAAATGTAAATATTTTTCTGGGTTGGGACCCCCAGACCCCCTGGAAGATTTGCTCCCCCCCAATGTTGACTCCATGGCTACGGCCTTCCTATGATTACTGTTGTTACATTATTTGTTCCTATCGTTACTGTTGTTACATTGTTTTTATAGCTTTATTTTGGTGATTCGAAAACATACGGTTAACCTAAATTGTCTTATAGTTGTTGTTGTTGGCTTGTACCACATTGATTTTTGCACTCAGAGTTTTAATAAGTTTTTTTTTTGCGTGGAATATTTGCTGGTTTATTCCAGGATGTCTCTGTTACGCGTTGTCGCTTTAAGATGTTCTGTGTTCAAATTTTATTTGTTGCGATTGCACCCGACTTAAGAGCCGCATGGCTCACAGGGCTATACCTAATAAATGAAACTTGAAACTTGAAAAGTAAACCACTGTAGCCTGCGCACCTTCAATGGAGGAGGAACACAAAACTCTCTCTGCTGAAGCCCTTCTCATCGTGGGCAGCAGCAGAACTGGACGTTTCACATCGAGCTCCTGAATCACGAAGCTGTTGCGGTCTCACGCAAGAAGAGCGAACCCGGGTGGATTTGCCCCGGCACGGAACAGAATAACAACGACAATCACCAAGCACTCGCGCCATCAAACGACAGACACTGGTATCTGATCAAAGTTCGAATTATTATTCGTCGGGGGGATTTTTATTCGCCATCAGATTCGTCCCGAGGCCCACAACGAACTGTTCTGGGATCCCCGCCGTGTCCACCAATGGTCCTGGAAGAGCTGCTGCTGGTGCTGGTGGTGGAGGGGGGCACCCACACTTTACCCCACCGCCCGTGTGGGCACAGACTACTCGTGGTTCTACCCATTTGTGGAGATCGTGCAGGCACATTCGGGATAATTGGCGAGATGTTAACTACCTCGCCTGGTATGCGGGACAGCGTGGGCTCAATCCCGAACGCTGACCCCTACTGCTGTGTCTTTGGAGTTTGCGGTGTCTCTCTCCCCGGTATCTCGGCTTTCCCCCTCCACGTGTCGACTCGGCGCCACGTCGCTGCTGTCGCCGTGAAGAAGTCGCCGTGAAGAAGTCGCCATGGTGAGGTCGCCGTGAGGTCACCGTGAAGAAGTCGCTGTGAAGTTGCCGTGAAGAAGTCGCCATGGTGAGGTCGCTGTGAGGTCGCCGTGAAGAAGTCGCCGTGAAGTCGCCGTGAGGTCGCAGTGAAGAAGTCGCCGTGAAGAAGTCGCCGTGAAGAAGTCGCCGTGAAGAAGTCGCCGTGAAGAAGTCGCCGTGAAGAAGTCGCCGTGAAGAAGTCGCCATGGTGAGGTCGCCATGAGGTCGCCATGGTGAGGTCGCCGTGAGGTCGCCGTGAGGTCGCAGCGAAGAAGTCGCCATGAAGAAGTCGCCGTGAAGAAGTCGCCATGAAGAAGTCGCCGTGAGGTCGCCGTGAAGAAATCGCCGTGAAGAAGTCGCCGTGAAGAAGTCGCCGTGAAGAAGTCGCCGTGAAGAAGTCGCCGTGAGGTCGCCGTGAAGAAGTCGCCGTGAAGAAGTCGCCGTGAGGTCGCCGTGAAGAAGTCGCCGTGAAGAAGTCGCCGTGAGGTCGCCGTGAAGAAGTCGCCGTGAAGAAGTCGCCGTGAAGAAGTCGCCGTGAAGAAGTCGCCGTGAAGAAGTCGCCGTGAAGAGGTCGCCGTGAAGAAGTCGCCGTGAGGTCGCCGTGAAGAAGTCGCCGTGAAGAAGTCGCCTTGAAGAAGTCGCCGTGAAGAAGTCGCCATGAGGTCGCCGTGAAGAAGTCGCCCTCTCGCGAGGCCGTGCACAGAATCGCCGCAAACCCCTCGGGTTGTCCGGCCTCACCGGGGGTGGGCAGCGCTCAGTCCGGCTATCTGAGAGTTGTTGGCCGCTACAAGAACAATAACAACTAACAATGGTAATAACAACAATGATGACAATATTGTGAACAACAATAGGTAGATTTCGATTTAAAGCTTTCGTGACTGCAAGGATTCATCTTCTTTGGTTCTTTCGGTAAAGTCACGTAGAATGAGAATAAAATAATAAAATAAAACAATAAAATTCTCACGACGTTTCGGCCACAACACAAGTAGCCGTTCTCAGGTGCAGAAACGAATCTCTCATGGTAGCCGGTTGGCTTGCAAAGAACCTCCGTCTTGGAGAAGTCAATGTCATGTGAACCCACTGAATTATAACAGTGATCTGCTACAGCAGAAGAGTTCGTCCTGCCGTGTTTCAAGTCTGCTTTATGTTCGTGGATGCGGTCCGAGATATGTCGTTTGGTTTCTCCAATGTAGTTGCTACCACAGAGGCACTTTAGTTTGTAAACGCCCGGGTACTGTATGTCTGGAACAGCATCTTTTACAGATGGAACTAGATCACGGATTTTATGTACTGTGTTGAATAGGACCTGGATCTTGTGTTTATTCAGGATTTTGGAGATCTTTTTAGTGACCCCTGCAATGTAGGGTAAGGTGATGGTTTTGAGTGGCTCCTCAAGAGGATCCTTCTTCATGACTGGAGTGATGGCTTTGCGGATTGTGTAGTTGGAGTAACCATTAGCCCTGAGAGCCTGGTGTACCTCTTCGGCTGCCACTATGCCGACCAAATGTAGGGACAATTTGATTTCCAAATTCAATCACCTCTCCAACAAAAAATCGGATCCACACACCGAAAAGATAGACGTTAACAAAGTCGTAATTAATCGCAGTAACAGTTCCATTTCTGATGGCCTGAAATCCGTTTTAGCTACAGGCCTAAACTATGCTGTCACACCGAGACACATACCGGTTAATGATATCATTGCCCATGTAGACGTTGCACTCAAGGGCTTGAGTCACATCTCTGCAGACGTAGCAAGATCTGAAATCGCTGCAACCCTCAAAAACGCTAAGTTGCTACCTAGCAACATCAGCAAAGATGAACGCTTTGAATTATCCCAATTAAAAAAGAGAGATGATATTGTCGTCCTCTCAGCCGACAAGGGCAATTCCACTGTCATCATGGACAAAACATAATATAACAACAAAATTCAAGAACTACTCAATGACGGCAGCTATACAAAACTAAAAAGAGATCCCACCAACAGCCTGGTTACCAAAACGAACAAAATAATATCTGATTCCACAGCATTAATTGATCAGACCAAACAGTTCTCGTTGAAACCCTCTGCTGCCAGACCTCCAAGATTATATGGCCTTCCAAAGATACACAAAGAAGATACACCCCTTCGTCCCATCGTCTCTACTATCAACTCCCCCACCTATAAACTGGCACGTTTTCTTGCTGATATACTGCGACCTTTCACTGGAAAAACCACCTCTGCGGTACTAAATTCTACTCACCTAGTATCGACAATCAAAGGCATTTCCCTGTTCCCAGACGACCTGCTTGTCAGTTTTGATGTGGTGTCCTTGTTCACCAAAGTTCCGGTACCTGACACCATCGCTATCATTGAAGACCTGGTCCATCAAGGACTACATACTGATGTACCCCCCCTGGTGAGACATTGCTTAACCAACACATACTTCGCCTGGAACGGAACTTTCTACAAACAAACTGAGGGCACCCCAATGGGCTCCCCCCTGTCTCCGGTTGCAGCCAATGTATTCATGGAAAAATTTGAAACTGACGCCATCCAGACTGCCACTCTACGCCTGACCTTATGGAAGAGGTACGTGGATGACACTTTTGTCATCTGGCCACATGGCCAGCCTGCTCTAGACCAATTCCACGACCACATCAATTTCATACACCCAGCCATAAGATTTACCATGGAGGTCGAAAAAGATGGCAAGCTACCCTTTTTGGATGTCTTAATTAAAAGGAGACCTGATGGCTCAATGAGCCACTGTCTACAGAAAAGCTGTAGACCGGATTCCCACCACCATTCATCCCAGAAGAACTCCCTCATCAAGACTCTATACCATAGAGCTCAATGCATTTCCGACCAGGAACACATTGCCAGTGAACTCAAACACGTACACCAAGCTCTCAGGGCTAATGGTTACTCCGACTACACAATCCGCAAAGCCATCACTCCAGTCATGAAGAAGGATCCTCTTGAGGAGCCACTCAAAACCATCACCTTAACCTACATTGCAGGGGTTACTAAAATATCTCCAAAATCCTGAATAAACACAAGATCCAGGTCCCATTCAACACAGTACATAAAATCCGTGATCTGATTCCATCTGTAAAAGATGCTGTTCCAGACATACAGTACCCAGGCGTTTACAAACTAAAGTGCCTCTGTGGTAGCAACTACATTGGGGAAACGAAACGACATATCTCGGACCGCATCCGCGAACATAAAGCAGACTTGAAACACGGCAGGACGAACTCTTCTGCCGTGGCAGATCACTGTTATAATTCAGTGGGTTCACATGACATTGACTTCTCCAAGACGGAGGTTCTTTGCAAGCCAACCGGCTACCATGAGAGATTCGTTCATGAAGCCATCCACATATACAAACACAGAGACAATTTCAACCGAGAGGATGGATTCTGGCTTAGTAACCATTGGAAAGATGTTTTAAACCATTTCGGTTCTTAAGTCATTGTATTTTGCGGTGACCGTCAGACCGCAGCTCTTTCGCTGGCATTGTGACTGTTTCTCCTTCCCCCTCCTCCCTTCCGAGTATGGATTGACCCGTCCGCCTGAATGTTGCTGTCCTTGGTGCTGGTTGTTGAGGAGATGGGAAAAACCGCCATTTTTTCTCTCATTGGTGCTCTTCTCTCCCTCACACCAACGCTAATCCCCCAGTTACACGCTAATTTATATGTAAACTCCTCTCCCCCCGTCCCCCGGTCCGAGCTCGTCGTTCGCCGTGGTGCTAATCCCTCACACCAACATCACGCTGATCCCCAAGTTACATGCTAATTTATATGTAAACTCCCCTCCCCCCTCCTCCAGTCCCAGCTCGTTCGCTCTCCGTAATGCTAATCTCCCAGTTACATGCTCCTTTGTCAAAGCTCTCTGTTCCTCCCACACAGCTTAAAAGACGCTGTCAAGCTTGACAGGGTTCCACTCAAGCGCTGTCTTCTGGACAGTCCTGTTTCTTCACCTGAGGACGGCTACTTGTGTTGTGGCCGAAACGTCGTGAGAATTTTATTGTTTTATTTTATTATTTTATTCTCATTCTACGTGACTTTACCGAAAGAACCAAAGAAGAACAATAGTTAGGTTATTTGAACCACGTAGATATAGATTCTTCGAACCTATATCTACGTTATTTGAACCTATCTACGTGACTTTACCGAAAGACCCAAAGAATATGATTTCCTGCAGTCACGAAAGCTTTGAGTCCAGAGTACGACGTTTAACACGGAGGAGAGGTATGATGAGGAGGGGTATGATGAGGAGGGGTATGATAAGGGGTGATATGATGAGGAGGGGTATGATGAGGGGTATGATGAGGAGGAGTATGATGATGAGGGGTATGATGAGGAGGGGTATGATGAGGAGGGGTATGATGATGAGTATGATGAGGAGGGGTATGATGAGGGGTATGATGAGGAGGGGTATGATGAGGAGGGGTATAATGAGTATGATGAGGAGGGGTATGATGAGGAGGGGTATGATGAGGAGGGGTATGATGAGGTGTATGATGAGGAGTATGATGAGGAGGGGTATGATGAGGACCGGTATGATGAGGAGGGGTATGATGATGAGGAGTATGATGAGGAGTATGATGAGGAGGGGTATGATGAGGAGGGGTATGATGAGGAGGGGTATGATGAGGAGGGGTATGATGAGGGGTGGTATGATGAGGAAGGGTATGATGAGGGGTGGTATGATGAGGAGGGTTATGATGAGGGGTATGAGGAGGGGTATGATGAGGGCTATGAGGAGGGGTATGAGGAGTATGATGATGAGGGGTATGATGAGGGGTATGATGAGGAGTATGATGAGGAGGAGTATGATGAGGAGGGGTATGATGATGAGTATGATGAGGAGGGGTATGATGAGGAGGAGTATGTTGAGGAGGGGTATGATGAGGAGGGGTATGATGAGGAGGGGTATGATGATGAGTATGATGAGTGGTATGATGATGGGTATGATGAGGGCTATGATGAGGAGTATGATGAGTGGTATGATGAGGAGGGGTATGATGAGGAGGGCTATGATGAGGAGTATGATGAGGGGTATGATGATGATGATGCGAGGCGAGAGAGCTTCCCACGTGACGACTGCTCATGTCAGGTCGGAGGTTTCCCGCCTCGGCGTCTGCGTGTGAGCGACTCGGCGCCAAGTCCGAGGTTTTACCTCTGACACGACGTGGTCCGCCAATTGCGGCTGAAGCTGAGCACGCGACTCCACTTGGCAGATTGCATCTTTGTAAAAAATATTTTTTTTACTTTTGTTATCCTCACAAATCCAAAACGACCACCGCCCCCGTCAGTCGGCCACGTGAGCGAGTAACCGGAGCCCTGGAATTGATCTGCTCGGGTCGCGAACGCCGCCGCCGCCCGCAGCTCGCCCGGGCGGCTGTGGCCACCGCGCTCAGGCGCTAGGAAAGCCGCCGAAAGCCTGCGGGGGGAGGCCCGGGCCGCCCGCAGGGTGATGTCCACCAAAGGCAGGAAAAGGGCGCCGCTGCCTTCGCGGCCCGAGCCGCCCACGGTGGAGGAGGTGGTGGAGGACGTCCACGGCGCAGGGCCCTCGGACCCCGTGTTCAGCTTCTCCGAGGAGAGTGAAGGCGAGTCGAGACACCTACCCACTCGCCCCCGAGGCCTCCCTCCCTCCCGTGTGAACCTTCACGTACTTTGGGGCAATGCTAGGAGGGTTGAAAGATGCGCGATTTAAAGTCTTTGGTTTGTTTGTGGTGCCGGGCAAGGGCCCAGCGGAGCTGCTCCGAAGCTCGTGGCCACCATCAAATGATATCGCGACGTAGCGGACTTATCGTGTGGACATTATTTTAGTATCAGCCACAGAATCGTCGCGACTGCAGTCTACAGGCGCGCCTTGTCTAAATGTGGACGATACTCGCCTCATGTACATTGCGATGTTAATATTTAATGTTGCTAATAGTGGTTATGTTTGTCCGTTGTTTTGGGTGCCTTCTGGAACATTTTTTTGCATCGATTTCGATTTTCTTAATCGTAACTTTTTTTTTACGTTATTGCGTTTTGTCATTTCGATGATAGAGGTCGCTCGAATTCTTGCCTGGTTAAACAAAATCATCTTCAACTGGAACATATGTCGTGTCTCTCTGTATTTTTGTGTCTATGTATCGCTATGTACTATATTTATCAGTCTCTATGAATCGATGTCTCTGTCTCTATGTATCGATGTGTCTATCCGTCTCCATGTATGGATGTCTCTGTCTATATGTATCGCTATGCACGATATTTATCAGTCTCCATGTCTCTATCTGTCTCCATGTATCGATGTCTCTATATGTATCTATATGTCTATGTATTTATCTTTGTGTATCTTAGCATATCTATGTGTCTGTGTGTATCTCAATGTACTCTATTTTTCTGTCTCTATGTATCAATATATATCAATGTGTCTGTATTTCCCTCTATGTATCGACATGTCTGTATGCATCTCTCTGGGTGAGCAAGGTCACTTGTAAACCTGGATCTCTGGAGTTCTCAAAGTCAACGTGAAACTTTGCTGGCCGTGGGTCCCATTGCCTCCTGAAGTGTAAACCTTTCATCATCGTCCCCACACCAAATATGTTACCAATAAAAATTAATTCTGCAGTCACCAAGTAAGAATGCTCATAAATCGCGTGTTTTAGTTGTGTAACACAAACCGGTGTTGCTAAGTATTTCCCACCTCCATCGGTGCCAATTTCTACTCGGGCCCATTCTGTAATTTAGAATCGCTATTGATATATGCAGCATATTCATTTGTATAGAGGCAGGCAATCTCTATGTCAGTCTTGACCAATCTATGAGTCTATAGATCTCTGTGTGAGCCTATGGGTCTGCACGTAATGAGTCTGTGGCACTGAGTGTATGAGTTCCTACGGGTCTATGGGTCTCTGTGTATGTCAATACAATGTGGATTTAAGCAGCGACTACATGTAACCACATCTGTACAAAAATGGTGTATATGTCTTCATTGTATTTGGAGGCAATCAGTAATAGGCACAGGAGAATAAACATGGTATTGAGTCTGGACTTAGGGGCAAGCGTGGGAGTCGGACAGCACTGGATGGGCGAGGGAAAGGGGGTTGCAGAGAGTGCAGAGGAGAATGACTGAGCTCTCACTGAGCGTGGTTGGCATGGGCCCCAGTGCAAGGATTTCTATCGGGCCATCTGTCCACAATTTACCCTATCTTAACCACTACCGTTCCTGCTCCCTCTTCATAATCTCTCTCCGTGGCTACCACTCCTTCCCCATCCATCCAATCCATTCATCATAATTTTGCTGTCATCAATTTTGCTTTCACTTAATTCACGCATCACAGGTTCACCCATTACTTCCTCTCATCTGTTGCATTCGCCTCATCTTCACCATTACACTCATACGTACCATTGTTAATTCGCTGCAAAGCACCTTGGTTAAAGCGCTATATAAATTACGTTAAGATAAGATCTTTGTAGTCTGGTGCCTGAAAACCCCTGGCACAGGGGTTCCAGTTCACGGCCTACACACTCAATTGTTATGCCACTGCACTAAGCTCTGATCTCAAATGTCACCTCTGGCACAGGGGGAGGTGGAGGAGCAGGGGTGCAGGACATGGGCGGGCGTCTTGAGCACGAGACCACAGACTCCCAGGTCCACGACTGCTTCCAGCGCTGCCGGCGCTTCGTGGAGACGCACCAGCAGCTGCGTGCCGCGCGGAGCCTGTTGGACGAGAAGCTTCAGCAGCTGCAAAGCAGTGAGGAGGAGCTGCAGGCCACCGTCGCCGAGCTGCGGGCCAAGGCCAACGAGGGCGCAGGCCTGGTGGCATGAGGGAGGTGCCCTCTCGGTCGTCCCCCGCTTCCCAAAACATGGCGTCGTGAAAGTCCGTGGCATCAAATCACGTGGCACTGCATGCAGAGTTCCGAGCCCTTCTCAAATTAGTGTTTCAAGTGATTGTTACGGTACGCTGAAGTTTCGTGAGCTGGTCTTTAGTATTTATCAGCATACTGGACGGTACATTCCCTTGACCCTTTTCTCACATTCCCGACAGGTTTCTTCAGTGCTTCTCATGGCCTGCTGGGAAATTTGAAGTCGTACTTGGTAGTAACGTGAAATATTGCCACTTACCGTTGTGTATCATTAGCCCTTCCGCCGGCAGTGGGTTGAGCAAGTGATTGCAGGGCTGCATTTTAACCTTTCTTTTTTAACCCCTGAGCTGGTACCGTTATCGTATTTTCCACGCAGGGCACGTTTCGGTGATGTTGGGCTGCCGGTCGTGATTTTCCTGGTGAAGGGAAATCTTGGGCCACCGGCACCTGAGAACCGAATGGTTCGTGCCACGTCCAAGCAGCCAAGCTCCTCCAGCTAGAGACGCATGATTTATGACTACTCCCTGTGGTATTGCGAGGAGGACAGCGCAGTGGCCGAAGACATCAAGAACACGCTCGACTCAAAGGATCTCCGCCGCTTTGTGGAACGTGTCGATGAGGTGGCTGGTGAGCTGACCATTAAAACAGTCACCAATGCCATCCAAAGCAGCCGCTGCTCCGTGGTGGTGCTGTCCCTGCAATCACTGGAGTCAGCCTGGTACAGATCCATTATGCACTGGAGCCTACAACAATGCTTGGAGCCATCCGTTTTGTTCAGGTTGGTGCCCGTGTACGTGGGAGGGGCGAAGTCGCCTCAGATACTGTCTCACATTGCCGGCCTGCAGTACTCCCACCGCCACTTCCACACCCGCCTCATCAAAACGGTGGACTCGAAAGTCAAACGTCCGTAGATTCACGTAGCGCCACGGTCTCCCGAGTGCCAGGACGACCTCGGCGACGCGATGATGCGTTTTATGGGAAGATACAACCCAAGAAAACAAACAGTTATAAATGTTATTACTACAGGGTTTACGCATGTGTGTATGGGTGGGTTGCGGTAGCATAGTGGGTCACGCGTTCTGCTACAAACTTTGGTGATCTGAGTTCAAGTCCGCTTACGACTATTAGAGTGTGGCGAATTTTTTGAACAGGTCCCACGTTGTCCCCCCCCCACTGTTGACTCAGCATTAAAAACTAGGAGCAGTGTGAAAACAATCATTAGAGAGATGAAGGCGGCTGTGCATTGTTGGCCACCCACCCCCCTCGTGTGCTGTGTGCCGGCCTTCATAGGTGCTCGTTAACGACACTTGCGCGAAAAGTAAGACTGTGGCTGCCAGCTTGGTAAGAAAAAGCCAAATTAGGTCAAGCTTTTCATCATAGCACTGCAGTGATGTCACTGATTTACCATAATACATGAGAGAGATATCACGACATCGCTAGTGCCATGATGACATGCTCCCCCATCACTTTAAAGTCCTCTCATTAATGACGCCTCAAACTCCGTTTGCCTGGGTCACGCAGCATAGGAGTGTAGCTACAAAATAAGAGCTGAGCGACTGCTGCAGTTTGCATATGTCGTGCTTATGTGGATTTTGAGCGGCTGCAAGGCGTGTCCATTCGCAGAGTGGGCCAGCATGAACATGAGCGGAGCATCGGGCTTCTTTTGATGGTTACTTTCTTCCTCTGCAGTGGCATGTCTCTGCAAGATTAATGATTTTTAAATTAACTTGTTCCACGTGCACGGAGGGAGATGGAGCAATGAAATGGGCTCTTGTGCAGGTTAAGGATGGATTGTTACCGTGAGAGATGGCAACGGCTTGGAGAAGCCTTCGTCCAGGAGTGGATTGACCGTGGCAAATTATAAGCATGAGGATGATGCGGAGGGAATGCTGGATTGGTGGTGGGATTAAAAAGCAGGTGGCTTTTAAATGTGTACTAAAACATATAATTGTGCCTTCTTGGGGGTGTGTGTATTTAAGCCATTATCGCTTTTGAATATTTGAAACCTGTATTGTGTGTGATTGCGCCAGGCATATCCGCGCACACCTGTGATCCAGCGCTATAGAGGCAAGGGTTGGTGGATAACAGAGATGTGTGAAAATCTCAAACATGCCAGGTTACTAAGTAACCAGGAGTTATAGCAGCAGTGCACGTGGATGCATAAACTCCACTGTGCAGAGCCCTTGGGAGTTATCACATTGTATGCATGCTTTATTTTATCTGGGTACTCTGATTTCGTTCCACAATCTAAACACTCGAATGTGGAGTTGACCAAACATCCTGATGTAGGACCCTTCCTGCAAGAGAGTTGAATCTCATTGATATTTTTTAAAAATAAATATAATTAGAGGTGTGACCTGACATAACTGTACCCATTCACCATTAAA